AGGCATGCGTTTATCTTATACCTCTGTCAAAAACCCCCACATAGTCATGGTTTATAGTAATAAAAATAACAAAATAATACATATATAATAATGTAAAATATATAGCAAAATAATGCATATATAAGAATTATAATAAAATTAAAGCAGTCTCCAGCCTCACCTTACCCCATCTCATTCCCTTTTCTACTTCCTTGCCTCAGAGGTAACTGCTTAAAAATCTTTGAATTCTTTATTCTTGTATGTATTTTCTTATTTCTAATAATGGGTTTCTACAAATATTTCTTGATGTTTCATTTTAGATATTCTTTATTGACTGCCTACAAATCTTTCAAGTAGAGTTATGTAGCATAGTTAGTTAAATACTTTTTAGTGTCTAGTGTGGCTTATAGCCTAGCCACATAATGGAATGATTAGATTTTCTTCTACAGTTTTTCTTCCCCCGATGTTAATATTGTCTCAGTTTTTTCTTTCATTGCTTTGTATTCTTTAATAGACATCTACTAGTACCCAACATATACTAAACAAGTGCTACATGCCGTGTGTTGTTGTAAGTAATTTAAAGGTAACGGGTTAGTGGGTAGAAGGTGGGGCATGTTGTGCCTTGGCTTAAAAGGACAAAGTCCAGATCCTGGCTATGCCACACAAGATCTGTCCCTTGGCTAGCCCTATGGCTGTTCTCCTTGTCTTTTCCTTTCCCTTATTTTGCATTCCAGCCCCACTAGGCTTGTTTTAGCTGGTAGCATTTACAAAGCCCACCCTTACTCTTTGGCCTTTCCACCAGCCTCCTGCTGTCTGATTCACTCTTCTGTTCCCTCCATTCACCTTCTATTCATCCTCAGGTGCCAATCTCCCCCCGTCACGAAACACTGTTCCATTGTCCTGCAACATGCTCCTGTGGCACTATGTTCTTCTTACTCACCACTCTTCATGTTTATGACTTGGTTAGCACCTGTTTTTCTTGCTAAACCATGAGCTCTGTGAAGATGGGGCCTCGTTGGTCTTGTTCTCTTAGACGGGCCCAGTGTTTAGCACATCCCAGGCTGTTTATACATTTTAGCTACTATATGACTGGGTCTCTAAGGAGAATGGCAATGATGCAAATGTACACGAAAACACTGCAATAAGTTAGGCTGAAAAAGTGCTATGTAAAGTAATACATTGTTTTCTCAAATGAAGTTGTTCCCCTTTCTACTCTATATTAACGAATTGCCTAACTTTAAACTGGCCTAGGCTTGTTGCAACTATAAAATGAAAGACATGTGGCTTTATAGATTGTGCAACCTGAGTCTCAGAGTCCAGTCCTTAGATTTTGCAAATGATCCCGGGCAGCTTTGAAGAAGTTGGTTAATATCTTGGGGTGTCAGCATGGTGGGCCTGGGTTTCTCTAACCTTCTGTCAACCATAACACACTTTGAGGGGTGCACTGTGCCAAAAGCAGTGGCTCTTTGACCAGTGAATTCATAGAGACCAGTGGAGGGGGGTGGGTTCTGCCACCCTGGAGCCTCCAGTCTATTAAGAAAAGCAGACAGTTAGCAGGAAATACATACATAAGTATGTACTTCTAGATTGAAAATACAGTGTCAAGCTGGAGGTCAAATGGTGATGGAGAATAAAGAGGAAGCTCTACATAAGCAGTTAGGGAAGGAGGGTATGAGAGAATGTAATTTAAGTAAAAAGGGTGTTCTAAGCTAAGGAAGAGCAAGTGCAAAGTCTTTAGAATGGGTGATGTTAAGCTGGTTATGTCTGTAAAACAGCATGGTTATGTCTAGGACCCCAAAGGAGTCCACTGTGGTAGGAACAGAGGAAGCAAAGGAGCGCAGGCTCAAAATGAAGTTTGAGAGGTAGGCAGGGGCCTCATTATCCGGGGTTGTGAAGTTGGTGTTGCTCAACCTTTGGTCTGCACATGGGCTGCTGGCCTGCAGCCTGTTGGCTTTCTGTCTGCAATGAGAAGAGGAGCTTGTGCAGACATAAATCAACCATATTACCTAGGACACATTTTAGCTGAGCTCACACACCAACACATGCACTCACACATTTGTAGAAGGCTCTCTCAGCAAAAGGAATGTGTTGATTTATACTATGTTCTGCTGTAAGCGCCTTACCTGGTTGTAGACCAACACTTTCAGTGCACAACGGGAAAAGACATCACAAGATTTTCAGTGGATGTGAGTGTGCTTTTGGTGGTGGGGGAATAGGGGAGCTATGGCATGGCAAATTCACTTTTCAAAGTGACTTCCATGGCTGTAGAACAGAGTGGAGTGGGAAGTGGGCAGGAGAAGAGATCAGTTGGAAAAATATTCTGGAGAAGAAATGACAAAGGCCTGGATCAAGATGGTGGCAATGGAAAGGGGAATATCAGTGGACAGAGTGTGGTAGATTCTCAAGGTAGACTCCATAGCATTTTCTCATAGAGTGGGATATGGGGAGTTCAGAGGACAATTGAAACCTTGACCCCCAGGTTTCTGCTCTGAACAACTTTGTGATGCTCACATCGGTGATTAAAATGGTAACAGTGGAGGATGAATGAGTTTAGAATTGGGGAGGTGGTGTGCATGGATATCAATAGTAGTAGCTATTAGAGTGGGGTTTTAAATAACAGGAACCTTTCTGAGAGATCTGTAAGAAGGAATTTTTTTTTTAACTCTCCAAACTTACAAGGAGATCTTTCATCATGAGTGATTCAGCTATGTGACTAAGCCAAGTTGTATGGCTATCATGAGCTTGACAGGTGCTTCTGAATGGCTGAAATTATAAATTTTAAATCCATAAATACCTAAGGGTACATTCAGGGTGGGGAGTAAGTTTCATCTTAACTGTCAACTCTGATGAATTTTTTGCAGATGCTCAAAGCACTGTTTGGAGGCTCCATCTGGATTTAGTGAAAAGAGTGCTGTCATCAATTTTCAGAATGTCCCTTAGGTGCGGGGGTGGGGGGGGAGGGAAGTGTGGCAGCAGGCATTTGCTGACCTTCTGTATCTTTCAGGTAGAGAAAATGAATTGGAGAAATGCCTCGACATGTGTGGCACTAGGTATATCATTTCCAACACTGCAAAATGGAACAAGCACTAAACTTTGAAGAGACTGTCTATGTGATTAAAACCTGGAACAGATCCCAAGAGCTGAAATACAATGTTGTCAGTGTTCCTTCCCCTGACGGTGATATTTGAACCAAAGCTGGCTGATAACAACTGAAAAGCCTTCTGGGATGTCAATGTGATTTTGTTCTGGGATCCATTAGGTATAGCAAAACAGCCTAATTAAGATCGGGCAAATTCCACAGGTCTGGCTAGGCCAATTGCCATGGAGTCAGATCATGTGGCTGTATTGGATGATCTGGTGGACCCTTCTCAATTTCCCTTATCTTATTTTATGCACAAAGACTGTCTGCTTTCTATTTACTTGTTTCAATTGGATTTTTCTCTGTCATCCCTCCCCCTGCCTCTGAGGCTTTCCTAGCAAGCAGATGCCTGTTGCTTCCTAACCTACAGGACTCAGGTGACCGAGCGAAGCACCACGAGACTGCAGACTAGTTGGGATTCATTAGAGAGTGGCAGAGTTTTGATCCACAAACATTGGGAAGGATGCTGCCAGTCTCTGCTCAGGTGGCAGAGGCAATAAGGCTTATGACAATGTTAGAGCTGATTATCCAAGGACTCTGTCAAGACTCCATGAATAATAACAACAATAATTATTATCATGATGGCGCAGGAGAGGAATAACGATTTTGGGAAGTCAGTGAAACAAGTCATATCGGTTTGCTGGCTGAAAGCCAGCCTCATTTTCTATCAAAGGTAGACAATTGGTGATTTTTATAATTTAGACCATTTTTTTTCAAGGGGCTGCAGAATTCACTACTGGACAAAAGAAAACAAAAGGGGTCAAATTCAAAAGAATCGCTTTTAGTTTGCCTTGAAGTATTTTCTGGGGGAGTGAAAATGAAGTGAGAAAGCAAGTGTATTTCTGCTTCTGTGTTCATATTTTTGTGGACTCATAGAAGGAGTTGGGAGATGTTTGAGGTTATCTAATCTATGTAGTTTCAAACTCTTTTATTCTTTATAATAGCATATTGTGTTTTTTTAAAATAAAATTCTTTTGTTGAACTCCAATGCAAAATAGGTAAAAGCAGAAATGATGGTGGAGGAGGTAGAATGAGAGTTGAGAGCATGACCCACCTGGGCTTCTGCCTCTCTGCGTCCACCTGGCTTTTCCAGGAGACACTTCTGTTCTAAGGTCTCAGTTTAAAAACCACTGATCTGACCCAACCTCCTCATTTTATAAACAGGAGATAAGGCGACTTGCTCAGAATCACACAATCGATTACCCGGCTGGGCCAGCTCCCTGTGCAATGACCTTTCCACTAAGCCACACTTAGGTGTCAATAATGGCCTTCCTGCCTCCCTCACCCTTCCTAGCTCTCCCAACCTCTCATGTCAACAGGCTTCCATTCTTTACTTTCTCCCCACATGTCTCAAGAGCCTGTGTCCCCATTGCTGCAATTTCATGACAGTTTAAAGGAAAACTTTACTGTCTCCAAAGAGTTGAGAAAAGAGCACTGGGGGCTGCTGTGAGTAAGGGTTCTAGTCCCTCACCAATACAGAGAAAATCTGTCTTGTCAAATTCTATTGCATTCCCTGGTCATGGGTCAGGAGATAGTAACAAGAAGTTCTCTGCAGGCCTCACGTTGTTTTGAATTCTGTTTCCTTTTCTCAGAACTGATATTATATCTGGTCTTTGATAAAGGATAAATTCTCATATCCTGTTTTGTGAGAGTTTTAATCATGTGCAGCTAATAGACTGTTACAAAGCATGAGGGTAACTGTCACCTGAATAAAAGAAGTGCTAGTTTTACATGGACTTGCATTTCTAAATTTTACCAATTTTTGGAGTTAGATACAACCTTAGAGAATTTATCATTCATTTTTTTTTTTCTCTTATAGATGAGGAAACTGACACCCAGATTGTTGAAGGGGTGGGTCAGTGATGAACCAGCTAGTTCAAAGTGTGAACTAAGTCCTTCTCGCTCAAGGTGCATTGCTCATGTCACTTCCTAATTGGGTTGACACCCTGGGCCAGGTGAACTAGGGGTCGGGGAAAGAGGAGGATGAAGTCACAAAGATGAGCAGGGTCTCAGCTCTCAAAGGGCTTGGTCGTGAGAGGAGGAGCAGGGTGGGGACGGTGCAAAGAGCATCAGTGGCCCTAGCTTTCCAAGAGCTCATTGTCCCGAGAGAGAGAGAGACAATCAGTAAACAAACAGGGGCAGAGCAGCCAGAGATGACGACGTGCAAAGTGCCAAGGGAGCACAGAAGAGGAAGTGACTAAGACAGCCGGCGGAGACCAAGAAAGGCTTCACATAGGAAATGACGCGGAAACTGGGTCATGAAGGGTGAGTAACTGTTTGTCGACAGAGGAGAGTTTCCAGGCAGGGGAGCTACATGTGCAAAGGCACGGAGGCACAACACGCAAAAGCCGGTAACGTGGCAGCGTGAGCAGCTCAGAAAGCGGATGTTTGCACATGGGCCTGGTTTGAAGACATGTCTGGCCCAGGCTCCATACGTACTGCAGCTGGCAGAGCCTGGCGTGTGGTGGCCCTGCCCACCTTCCCAAGCCCAGTGCTTGCTTCCCAACCCCGGCCACGCTCACTCCTTTCGGTCCCTGGAGCATCGCAAGTGTGATTCCACTTCAGAGCTTCTGTACTTTCTGCTGCTTCTTTCTGGAATATTCTCTCCCCTCCCCTCCATTTGCATAGCCGGCCCCTTCCCATGTCTCGGGTCTTACCTCCTGAAGAGGCCCCTCGTTACCCCATGTCATAGCACATATCACAAGGAATGGCTGTGACCTGTGATTACTTCCCCGTCACCGTGTTTACTGCCTCCCCGTCTCTCTGAAAGGTAGCATGAGACACAAGGGTAGGGACACTGGCTGTCTGGTTTCTGGTGTGTGGCTAGTGCCCAGTCAGTCCCTGACACTGCGCTCAATAGAAATTGTTGGATGAAGAAATGAAAATATCAATGAATGAATGAATGAAAAATCTGGAAAGAGACTGGTTTGAATATCTTCCACTGGTTTCTCCAGGTCCAGTCTCCCCCCTTCTCTATCCAATTCTGTGTCATGGAAGGCTGACCTCTGTGGACCACATCGGTATCTTCCCTCTGCTTTGGATTTGGCCAATAGGGAACAGGTAAGGGTGAGAGAAGAGTTGATCCTCATGATTTATTTTTAGTTAGGGTGGCCTTGGGCTGGCTGCATCCTTCTTTGGAAGGTCTCTGCAAGGGCCGACTCCATGTAGCTTCTCTGCTCCTTCCTTTCATCACTTCAGAACTGGGGGACAGGCACCTGCTCCTATCTTTCTGTGTCACTATCCCTTGTGGTTTCTCTATACCTACTTCTCTATAGTCCTTTCATTAATCTCTCCTCAGCTGACTATGCCTGTCTGTTTCCTAGTAGGATCCAGAGAAATATAAGAGGACGGGGGCCAGGTTAGGAAACACTTTACATACCTGCGAGAAGCGTGGACCATATTTATTTGGCAGTGGAGAACTGTTAGAGATAGATCTTTATGCAGGGGCTATGGACTGAATGTTTATTTGCCCCCAAATTCATATGTTAAAATCTTAACCCCCAATGTGAAGGTTTTAGGAGGTGGGGCCTTTGCGAGGTAATTAGGTCATAAGAGTGGAGCCCCCGTGAATGGAATTAGTGTCCATATAAAAGATACCCAGAAAGCTAACCAGTTCTTTTCCCACTGGGTGAGGACACACAGAGAAGACGGCCATCTGTGAACCAGGAAGCGAGTCCTCACCAGACCTAGAATCCACCTGCATCCTGATCTTAACCTTCCAAGACTCCAGAACTATGAGAAATAAATGTCTGTTGTTTAAGCTGTCTGAGTGATGGTATCTCATTATAGAAGTCCCAGATGACTGAGACAGCAGGTGTATGATATAATCCAAAGGTGAGGCAAACACTTGGAGTCAGTGTAGAGCATGTTCTCCAAACTTTTGGTAATGAACCCCATCGTGTTTGAGCATGTCCTGCTAATATATGCATAGGTGTTTACTTATAAATTATATAGATGCATGCTTGTACTAATAACTTTTGTATAGTGTAAAATATATGAGGCTATTCAAAAGGATAAGATAAAGGTAAAATAAATTACATTTAAAATATTTTAAATTGATTTTCAATTTTTCTTTCACTAAAAACCATACTATGAGTATTCTGATTGCTTAATTTTTACGTGTCTTACTAAATATTATAGCCAATATTTTATTATTCACTTAGAGTGACATTCATTGTTAAGGGGGGTACACATCAATTTATATTCCAAATCATCTTCTTGGATTGGGGAGGGCTAAGCTCATGTCAGATCTAATTATATTATATAATTTTGGGGGCTTATGGTGACCAAGTGCCTCTACTAAGTGGAGAAAAGGCAACTTTTCCCACTCACATGTCTTGATTTGTGTTATCATCTTTGGCCCATGATTTATTTTTAGTTAAGTTTCTCATCTATTTTGTGATTGTGCAGTAAGTTAGAATTAGACAATAGTTCTGCGTATTCACTTGACTCATCATACATTGTAATAAATAAACAAATGAACTTGTGAGGGGACCACTGTGCCCTCCTCTGACGTGTGGACCCTCATTCTCCCCCAGGACTCCCCCCAGATCCTACGTGGGAAGGATCACTAGCATGCAGACTAAGAGTGCCATGTCATAGTAAATATCAGAAAAGCTTAATATCTTATTTTCTTAGATAAAAATGAATGTGCACAGAAGTTCTAATGTTTTCTCCCATTCCCCCAGTGACTATTTTGCACACCTGCTGGACTGTGTATAGTTCACTTTGAAGACTACTGCTATAGATCGTGGGCAGAATCTAGAACTAGAGGACCAGTTAGGAGGCTATTGTCACAGGTCCTACATTGGTGGAGTCCTTTTAAAGCTATGAGGTTTGTATTAATTTCCACTTGAAGCCCTGTTATCCCCATGGCTTCTTTCCATGCTAATTTTCTTATTCTTTTCCATATCCCTAGCAAAGAACAAAAAAGAAATTATAATACTAACCACTTATTAAACACCTAATTTGGCTCACATTAGTAAACACGATTTATCAAGAATCAGGAGTGTTATGTATCATTTTGAGCTTATGCTAAAGGAAAGACTGGGGGCTTTCAATACATGATGTAAATAAAAGTTCAGAACAATTCTGCAAGACCAGCACTATTTTTACCTCTTTACCGTGGAAAAACTTACTTGGAAAGATCAAGGAACTTGCCCAGCAGCTAGTAAGTGGCAGAGAAAGCTTGGATTTAATTCAGGTCAGCCTGTGCCCAAAGAACTTGCCCCTAATCTACTATATAATGCTGATTTAAAAAAAAAAAAAAGAAGAAGAAAAATTTGGGAAGCTTTTGTCAAATGGCCTTGATTTTCTCAGCAAAATAGAAAAAGAGGATTAGTGGACTTAAAAGGCTATGTTCAGTCAAAATGGGGTGAAATGTGCTCACTGCACAGCTTGAAGGCAGAGCATCTTTGAAGCTATTCTTTTTCCTTTTCTCCACATTCAAACCAAAAATCTGACACCCTCTCCAGACAGCAAATCCACTCGTGTTCCATCATGGTTTCCCTGTGGTTCCTTCCACTCCAGCTGGAGGTACTTTGCTTGCTACCAGTTAATGCTCTAAGTGAGTAAGGGTTTGCAAGGGTGAAAAAAAAAAAGAGGAATGCATGTTTCCTCTACTTGATTATTTTTCCTAGATCTAAGTTGCAAGATGTTGAGACGAATGACAAATAATGCTGAGAGTTCTTGGGGAGAAAATGGCAGGAAACCACTCAGAAAAACACTTAAAGGAGAAGTCACAATTATAAGATGAGTTTTTTTCCATTTTCTATATAAACCTTGATGAGAACGTCTATTTCACTAGCTGCTAATCACAGTCCTATGGAGCTATGGGCACAACCATCATATCCATCAAATCTCCTGGAAGTCTTGAGTCTGGCCAGTCTCTGCCTTCCCTCACAGAGACCGGTATTCCAAAGGGTCACAGCTATTGAAAAGGACATGGGGGAGAGGTGTCCTACCACAGGTAACAGGAAGATAACAGCCTAGAGAGGAAGTGAGGTGAGGGCTTCCATGACTATTAGAACAGCAACCATGGAGTTGGAGAACAGACCAAGGAATCGACCAGACAGGCTGAGTTGTATGTGGAAAGGGCTCTTCTGTGTCTAGCTCTTTAAACACTAGGCTTCCCTCTACACTGTTATGTGCTCTTCCAGAAAAGGCTGATGGAGAAACAAGTCACTTCAGCTTTTGATAAACACATGTTCAAAAATTAGAGTTTAGGGTGGGAGAGAAAACAGAGAATTTTGTGCCTACCAATCAATTCTCAGTCATCCACTGGGGTGCCTTGGAAATACAAAGCATTATGTTAAGAGCATGAAAAGGTAGCACTTTTAATATATTTACTGTTATTTCTGACTGAATAGGTTTAGCAGTTCCACACTGTTGGAATACTGGGCTTTTATCCTGTAAAATCGCTTGGGCAATTTTAGAAAGCATTAAGACTCTTTAATAAGCCCAGAGAGTAGAATGTTTCTATTGGGACACACACTTGTGGATCTGCACACACAAAGGCACACACCCCCTTGGAACTGGGGACAAAGAGCTGCGGCTGTCTTTCCTGCGGTGGGCTTCTCAGGTGTCTGCCAACAATCAATAGTGCAATCACTCTGGGCCTTACACTGGGGTGCGTGGGGTGAGGTTGGAAAACACTGAGTTGTTAAACACTGTTGGGAAAACTCACTCAACCCTGAGACCAGTCCACTCTTTCCTACACCCAGGCCTCACAACAGCTCAGTGCTCCTTCTTTTTACCTCCCGTTGACTGCCTCTATTTCCACTGTGATGCTTTCGATATGAATTTTCAACTCAACAATGCACTCTCACATTTTTTCATACCCCCTCTCCCTCCCCTTTCATCCTATGTTACTGGCTTCATCCTCTCATAGTTGATCATCTACTCACCTCTTTTCCTGGAAAGATTTGTTTCAACTCAGCTCATTTGTTTCCCTGCCAAATCCTTCTGTTTTCTCACCTTTTGTTTGGTTTGCCTTTCCTCTGCCTGGGTACTGGGTCACATTCCATTGTTCATCCCATTTCCATTCCAAATGGTACCGTTTTCTCTGTGTACATAATGCTCAGTTCTCCCCTTCACTCAAAATATCTATTCCTTCTTGAAATTTTGGCTCTATTTCTCAAGCTACCATCTCAACTCATCCACTAACCTTTACTGCTAGCGTTTTCCAAGTACACATATTTCATACTTAAAAATCTCTACTTCATGACTCATGGACTCTATTTCAGTTTCTTCCATTTTTTTTTCACACCACATGTGGAATGGCTGAAGGACAGAGAGATGTTTAGTTTGAAGAAGAGAAGGCTCAAGTTTGCCATGCACTTTGTGTTGAAGTATAGATGGGCTCTCAGGCTAGGGAAGGATTACTTGTTTTGTAAGCCTAAAGTGGAGAATGACAATCAGAAAGAAAAAGCTGATTTTTTCAGCAAGAAAAAGCAAGAAAAAGGCAAATTTCAATGCAATATCAGGAAGAATCTTATTACCACCTGAATTATCCAGGGATAAAGTGGGCTTCTGTGGGCAACAGCAAGTTATCTGTTACTGGAGGTAGTGAAGCTTAGATTAGATTGTTGAATAGATGAAAGCATCAAATGAGCTCTCAAATCACACGGGTGCTTCTGAATCCTGAGATTTTGTGATTATCACAAAGTCATTTTCAAGTTCACTCTCGTTTGACCTGATTGCAGCATAAGCCATCACTATGTTCAGGTCATACTTATTTTTGTGTGTGTGTGTGTTGTATACAACAAAATTAATAATGGTCATTATGAAAAATTTTAAGCAATACAAAGTGTGCAAATGACATGGAGGAGTATGTATGGATCCGAGATATGTTTTGAAAGGATAGTCAAGACAGTAGATATGACTGCCCAATCCATTCCATCTCCTGGTCGGAGTTTTGAAGGAGGAATTAGGGGTTCAGCAGGTAAATATATGGGAGGAGATATCAGAGTGAGTAAATAGCTTATGGCAGTACACTGAAATACAACACAGCCTACTGAGTCAGGAATTGCAAGTTATTTAGTGTGGCCAACATGGAAGGAACAGGGATGTGGTAACAAATGAGGTAGGTAGGAATGATCAGATCATGAAGGGTCTCGTATGTTATTCTAGGGAGAGTGGACCTATCATGGGGATGGGGCGGCCTTAGTCACTTCGGTACAGCGCTCACCAGCCGCGAAACCTTGCCCACAGCCCGCACTCATAGTCTGCATGATAGTTTGTGCTGTGCATTGACGATGAATCCGTTTTGCTTTTGTGTGATGAGGAAAGCTTTAAAGCACTGAAAGCTTGTTTTACTTTACAGGCAGCTTTACTTGTAATGTAAATCAGAATAGGTAACATATACATATTTGTTTTCATTATGTTATTTTTAAATGTTTTCAATTTTATTTTGATAAATGAAAAATTAGAAGAGTCATATCATGGCTGTCCGCTAAAGTCGCAGTGCGAGTTCATCTGTGGCTATAGACTATAGCTCGTACCAAAGTGGTTAAAGAATCTTAAGCATGGGAGCCACGTGGCAGTTGTGTGGAAAATTAATATAGGAGGGATAGTGAGGAGGAGAGAGACAACCCTGGAAGAATGAAGACCACTTAGATGATTACTACAGAATTCCAGAAAGGAGATGCCAAAGGCCTGACTGGAATCTTGTACATTGAAATCTCAATGTCTGGCACTCATTAAATATTGTTAAAATGAGGGAAT